GGCTTGGAAGAGTTGGGATACCCATATCAACTTCAACATTCACGGAAGCTTCGGCCACAGGAGAAGGAAAATCTTGAGTTTGCTGAGCTTTCTCAATGGTTTCATTGATCTTAGCCAACTCAGACTCTAAGTTGAAATTTTCTTGGCCAGCTTCAATCAGGGTATCACGGCGTGAATTCAAAAATGCCCAACTTGCCTCAATAGCAGATTTTTCTTCAAGGGTCTCATAATCCCTTTCCCAATTAGCAATCTCATTCCTGAGCTCCTCATTTTCAGCCAAGGCAGAGTTGTAAGAAGTTTGAAGAGAGGCATGGGAGCTTTCTAAAGCACGCACCTTAATAGAAGAGACTCGAAGGTCTTCTTGTGCTTGAGTTAAGCTTTGCACGAGCTCCCCAGCATAAGTTTCTTTTTGACTCAAGAGAACCTTCAACTCTCTGTTCTCTTCACTGGCCTTGGATAGTTGTTCTGAGAAGGAAGATTCGAGACGCTCTTTTTCTTTTTCTGCTTGGCTTGAGGAAGCTTTTAGAACTGCTAACTCTGAGGTTAAAGCCCGCACCTGCTGTTCTAAGGTACTCTTGCTCTCTTGTAAGAATTCTACATCAATTTGTAAACTCTCAAACTGATCCTTCCAATTGAACGCCTCTAACTGAGAATCACGTGCTATCTGCTCTAAGAGGGGGATTCTGTTCATCATTTCTGTGCCGAAAAGAAAGCCTAAAAAAGTGCTGCAAATCTGCAGAACTAATAGGAAGGAGACACGTGTGGAACGCATTAAATGGGAGTGACAATTGAAGCGTCAATTCTGTCACAGCATTAATGGTGACAAAAATTTCCGTTTTAATGAAATCCACTTCCCAAATATTCAATTGATGAATAAATGGCAAGTGGAGGGACTATCTGTATTGGGAAAAATTGAGTTTACATATTAAAGTATTATGGAGATGACGTGTCGTGACACGTAGACTGGTCAAATGGTCAAAAAATTACAACTAGCCAAGAGGCACGAGTAGCAATACATACGAGCAAAGGCAAAGGAAGAGGCACGGGCGATTATTCAAAGGATTCAACGTCGTACCTATTCAAGAACATTTAAGTTCAAGAATCAAGAAGAATCAAGGGAATGAATCTGACAACACATGAGAGTCCAAATACAGTATTTAATAAGCATTAAATGCTAAAAACGTTAGAGAATCTGTCTTAAATATAATAATTATGTAACGTAGCATTTAATGTCATTAATTGCCCATAATAACCTTATTATGACAAAGGCAAGACACATATCCCCAAAATAGCTATAAAAGGGAGGGGGCTAAACAATTGTAGGGACACGAAACACTATCTGAATATACTTTGGTTTACTAGTCTTCTTTTGATATTCTTGCTATCCGAATTGCTTTCTTTTATTCATTCTTGCGATTATCAGTAACCCGTGTTCTTCTAAATTATAGCTTTAGTCAAAATTCCATTTTTTGGTTAAACAATACAATCCCAAAAAGGTGAGTTGTTAGTACTCTAGTCGATATACTCAATCAGATAAAAAGACTTGATTCTTTTTCAAATACTTATATTGCTTATAGAATAATAATACTAGTTCCCGTTGCCTCTGGCTGCCCTCGACCACAAACTAGAAACTTGAAAAAAGGTTTTTAAAACTAAAATTGATAAAATCTTACTTAAAATCAACCATGGCGCAAGAAAGATTGAATGGATTAGCTATATTACCGATTGAAAAATAATTATTAGAAAAGATTTATAATAAAATAATTATTCATAATTTTGCATCTCAAAAAGCTAGAAAATTAGATTTTAAATAAATTATAGTATATAAGAAAGTTGTGTTTTTTGTTTTTTGGGAAAAAAAGGTTAAAGGCCTCCAATAGTGTTGAGCAGCCCCTGACAGTTTATATCTCAAAATTCCAAAAAAATCTAAGATTCTTCATTTTTGCTCTGTTTTATCGTCGCAAATTTATTGATATGGTTTCCGTTTTTGTTTGTCTGTTTATTTTACTAGGTATTGCCAATTAATCGATCGAATCATTTGGCACTAATGAAAAGGCAAAGTTTCATTCTAGATGGGGCATAATTTTTCACATGCGAGGCATGTATACCTTATTATCAGGGATTATATGTGTAATTTTTAGTATGAGTTTTGAACAAGTATTAATTATATTGCTCCATTTTAAATAGGATACACCAGCTTTATTTTTTGCTATCTTTAGTCTCAAGAATCTCTTTAATCTTTTAGGTAAGAATCTTTTCGTAGTAATTAGTGCCCTGCTACTAATTAATAATTAGCTCCATAGTGTTATACTATGCACCCGTTGCCTTCCCTTATCCCTCCTCCCAACGAACAAAAGTAAACGAAAAGGAAAAAACTGAAGGCAACTGTGACACATTACTTAATTGTAAAATTTCACAATTCTTATGTCCAAACGCTCATTTAATTTGAATGTTTCATAGAAACTCCCATGCGTGGACGACAAACATAAGGAGAATCCTGTTTTGTCCAGTGGCGAAGATTTTTCTTTAGCACGCTGCTTCTGGAAAAAAGAATCATATGGATGTGTAGATAATATTGTTTTTCTTTTTTAATTATGCATATATAATAGGCCAACCCAGCAGTCTCGAGTTAATTTTATCCATGGTCATTGAACTTTTAGGTTTATTACCCTAAAGTTACTTTTCTTTTTTTTGTTACGTAAAAATCATTTAACTTTATGTTCATTACACAAAAGTCATTTTTCTTTCTTTTGTTACACAAAAATTATTTTACTTTGCTCTAGTTATCACAAAAGTCACATTTTTACTTGAAAAGTCTATTATGCCCTTGATATTATATAAACCTTCATTTTTATGTAATACCTTCTATATTATATACTATATAATATATTTTTTACTTATGTATTTTATTTATAAATAAAATAACTTAATATTATTTTATTATTATTTTTCTAATATATTTGTATATTTAATTTTTTCTTAACGTTAATTTTCAAGATATATTAGTAGCGTTGTTAAATTTGTCAGTAACTATAATATATATTAGTAGAGAAATAAATCGGCAAGTACATTTCCGTGAGAAAATTCGTAGGTAAACAAACAAAGAAAATGAAGAAAAAATCATATGTTAATCTGAAGGAAAATCCCTAGGTAACCCTACATGCGAATTTAGCTGGGGATATTTTCTTGGTGATTTACCTGGGCAATTGGTTATTTGGGAAATTACACTACTAGAATTCGGGAAAAACCGTCCAAAAAACCGACCAAAGTTGGTCGGTAATGGCCAATAACCGTCCAAAACGCGGCAATTAACGTGTGGTCGGTATTTTGAAGGTTGGAAGTGCATACCGACCAAAGTTGGTCAGAAATTACCGACCAACTTTGGTCGGTCAATTAAATTCAAAAAAAAGAATTGCTGAAAAAAAGTTGTTTTATAACGTTACTAATATATCTTGAAAATTAACGTTAAGAAAAATTAAATATACGAATATATTATAAAAATAATAAATAAAATAATATTAATTTATTTATTTATAAATAAAATACATATGTAAAAATATATTATATAGTAGTATAGAATATAGAAGGTATTACATAAATGTGAAGGTTTATATAATATCAAGGGCATAATAGACTTTCAAGTAAAAATGTGACTTTTGTGATAACTAGAGCAAAGTAAAATGATTTTTGTGTAACAAATGAAAGAAAAGTGACTTTTGTGTAATGAACACAAAGTTAAATGATTTTTACGTAACAAAAAAAAGAAAAATGACTTTTGGGTAACAAACCCAAAAGTTCAATGACCATGGATAAAATTAACTCCAGCAGTCTCACTACGAAGCTCACATCCATGCAGTGGCCTACCTACTCATGATCGAAGGTGGTTAATTAAATACCCATTTGTTGGGCTAAACTAGCCCAAATACACCCTTAATATGGTGTGATATTGTCCGCTTTGGACCAAGCCCATACGGTTTTTCCCAAAAGGCCTCACACCATTAAGAGATCCCTACACCTTATATGTAGACTCTCAATCTTTTCAGCTATCAATGTAGGACTTTGTTCGCACACCCAATACCTTTGTTGTAAAATTAAATATTGCTTTTTATAAAGATATATCAAATCTTGAACACCTTTAACATAAATGAGATAGGTAGCCCGACAATGCAGTGTATTTGCTTCTAAAATATTCTGTTCTCTCTCTCTTTTTTTTCTTCATTTGTAGGTAATTAAAAGATTTTTATATGGAATAATTTAGGCTTAAAAAAAGTTGGATGGTTGGACATCATTCCCAACCGATACCGAAAATCACTTGCAAGGCGAGTTTTTAAGTTTTATAGGTTCAACTTTTAAGCTTTTTAACATTCAACCCATTATATTTTTAAAATTATGGGGTCATATTACTATATATTATAATATTAGTAAATTTTACACATAAATTTATGCTCTGCATGAAAAGTAGTGGGTTCAGTTGAATGCGCTATTGATACATTGCATCTGCCTCTGGCACTGCGTGTTCGGATTCTTCCAAACATGTAATTACTGCAGGATGCAGCCAAACTGCTAACACAGTTTTTCATGTACAATATAATGCTTTAGTCATGAAGTCTTGTGTACTGAATTGTATTAAAGACATAACCTTAATGTTTCAGATTTTATCTGTTCGACCTCCCATATACTTTTGTAATTACCTCTTTTACAATTTACAAAGTGATCTTGTCAACGATTCAGAAGACATGCAAACTGGCAACATTAGCTTTGTAAGCAAGCAATGTGAATGTTCCAAGTGAAATTAGTAACCTGAAAAAATTTGGCAGGCCACTTGGAACAACAACAATAACAACCCAGTGGGATCCCAGAAATGGGGTCTGGGGAGGGTAATGTGTGCGCAGACCGTACCCCTACCCTGGAGGGTAGAGAGGCAGTTTCCAAAAGACCGCCTCTTGGAACAACAAACTAAATTATACTGATAGTGTTGAAAATTCTTAAGATTGTCAGTGTAGATGAGCTAAATCCAACACGAATTTGTATTGAACTCATTTGGGCCAGAGTATAAACAGAGAGGAGTTACCAAGTTCACAACAACTGTAGCAGCAAGGAAAACTGGTTACCCCATGTTTGAACATGAATTTTATCAGCCAACTATGATTTATCAGTGGCTTCCAGACTAGTCTTTGAATCAGAAGGGTCAATATATCTCCAAAAGAAACCTAATGTACTGCCCATTATGTTCATAATAACTGCTGACATTGCAGGAGGTAATGCAACCAACGGGGATGCAAAATGCGCGGTCGCTAGAACCACTCCCAAGGAGGAATTCTGCATGCCAACCTGCAAGGGAATACAGAAAGGAAGTGAAATACTGTTGCTGCATATGTCGATCACTATAGAAAAATCAATTTAAGGAGCAGGGAAATGAAAACTAAATCTTTCTTGAAATATGTTTAATAAGGAATCGTAAGCCGTTTTCCAGGTTTTAGTTCAAATTGGTTGTAGGTTTCATACAAGTGGAGGCTATAGCAGGAACAAAAGGACGAAAACTGCAGATATAAATGTCAGCAGCAGCTAGTGGTTTTCACTTTTTGTAGCAGCGACTAAGTCATGAAAAAAATTGCTTATGCCCTCATAAACTGGAAGCCATATTCTACCTTTCTGAATATAATATTTGCCCCTATGAGAGGTGCTGTATTTTAGATGACAAAACATTAAAAAGTACTACCTCCATTGCTAATTTAATGTCTACATAGACTACAATGTCCAGTGTCTGCTGATTTTTAGTTAGCTCATAGTCATAGCCAAAAAGAGTCAAAGGTTATCGAATGTATATATATATATATGCTAAATAGAATAAAATGCCAAAGGACAGGAAGTTTTGAGTCCATTAGGAGAATAATCAAGTACCTCAATGGATATAGCACGTCTCTGAGGTTCACCGAAACCACCAAAGGCTGCAGCCAGGTACCTGCAGAAGGTCCTTATCACTCGACAAATTCCTACGGGTTGCTGAAATCAGGGACAAAATACATTTGAGTTCAACAAAAGGAGTATGTTCTTACCCTACGAGGAATCCAGCAGAATGAAGCAAAAGTACAGAGATCACTATAGCCCCATATTCACTCGTAAGGATTGCTTGAGCCCGATGAAATAGAGATAAATCAGAAGAGACTGACATGCCAACCATTGAAGATCCCAGACGAACAACATTTTCTGAGAATACACTGAGATAAGAGAAGAAGAAAAAAGTTTAGGACATAAAGAAATGAAACGTATGACGGTGGAGAGTAAAAGCATCAATTTGATAATGACGAAGCTTAAACAACTAAACCTGCAAGCAAGAAGTGATGAAGTTAAGACTGCTAGAAGGGGAGCAAATGGCGTAACCATTTTCACGGCTCTTGGAAATTTGCTCTGCAGATAAGAACCTAGGAGAATTGGAGCAACCACCACCTAAAGAGTAACATGAAAAGGAACCAAATAAATAACTGAAGAATAGAAACAAATTATTTGATGAATCAAAATGTAAGAATTGTAGGAAAACAATAAAGTGAAAATGAAGTAACCTGTAGTGTGCTGATGGAAAGCTTAATAGCATCGACAGGAACATATGTGCCAGCCAGAATCATTGTCAAGAAGGGAGTGAGAACAACTGCTCCAAGTGTCGTACATAATGTCATCACTACTGATAATGGTACATCTCCTTGCGCAATTAAGGTTACCTGTAATACTATCAGAAACGAAAAAATGATTAAATGTGGTAAGCCTATGGTTTTCTGTAAGACTGAATTCCTATTAACCAGAGCTCATTTCCTAAAAGGCAAGGTTGAGAGATCTAATATTTATGGTAAGACTGCAGATTGTCAAGCTAACTCAAATGATTTCGGTAATTTCACTATAACTATCAAACTATATAACTCAACCATTTACTAGGTACCCTACCTAGTGGTGCAGCAAGTTAAAAAGACAAACTAAGCACATGCATACACCTAATAAATTTTTGTTGTTGTCCGTGTCCTTTAGAAATTGTTTACGACTGATCATGTTAATGAAGCAAATCGGACTTTAGAGATACAGATCCAATATGTCACATTGTGATGCAACACAGCAGAAAGTCATCAGATGTTAAAAATAATGTAATGGAAGGGAAAAGAATGAGAAGCCAATCATAAATGACTTGCTTTTTCCAGGTTAAGAGATGGTGCCAAAACAAAGCAGCACCTACGTACGTATACATAAATCTATCTGTAGATTCTAGAGTAACTCAACTAGTTTAGTCCGATCTAAACAGAATCGAACCTAAAGGTCATAAAGTCGAGGGAACTAGAACTTATCAAAGGAAATATATCCTAGTCTAGGTTAAATAGGTAATTCATTGTTATTTTTTGAGAGCTTAAACTAAATGTAGGTGTAGGATCGCTGGCAGCTTCTCCTAATTTATCAGAATCACTTGAAGCAGTGCTGGTTTATGCAAGATTACCCGAGACAACATTACTAGACCACATGAAAAGAATTAGAAGAAAGCTATCTAACTCTCCCACTCAATGCCAATTCATGACAATAGAAAGTATCATTCTTACCACATTGGACGCAGTACCCCCAGGGCAGCAAGCAAGCAATATTAGACCAACGGAAATTGAAGGAGGGAGACCCAAAGATTTGCTAACTAGCACTCCGAAGGCTGGCATAATTGTATATTGAGCAGCACAACCAAAAAGAATCTGAAAGATGGAACAACAATGATGTATTCAGCCTGCTATAGTTGTACCACTCTTTTGAAACTTACCATATAAACTAAGTAATAACAATATCCCTTATATTTTCATTAGTCCTTCACTACTGAGAAATGAGAGTCTTATTGCGACAGGCGAAAGGAGAGGGAAAGGCAGTGGGAATCACTCAAGGAGGAAAAGGTAGCGATATTTGCAACTAGTGTCTTACGTAAATGACACATTTCTGCTTTGGTTATACACCGGACCACACTTTAGTCACATTTGAATAAAATTGAACTCACTAGAAGAAAAAAGATTGCATTGGTAACAGCTATTGAACTCATTTCCTGTGCTGCTATCGCTATCCTTCAGTGACATTAGTTACTCGATATCACTCTTTAGAACAAGTTAACAGCACAATCCGTGGAGCCATGTAGTGAAGAAAACAGAATTCTGATTCAATATTACATTTAAATGCACTAAATTTCATCAACACACTAACATTAAATCCCCTACAATTGATTTGCATACTTGTATATAGTCTAACAATAAGAAACTTGTGTTAAACCAGATATTGGTCTAAAGCAAATGTACCTTGGGCCTAACTCAACCCAAAAGCTAGCTCATGGGGGAGAATTGCGAAAAACAATATAAGGAAATGATGACGGGACCATGACTTGAAATCCGTAGCATGGACAACATAACATGGGACTAGGATTGGCAAACGGGAGGGTCGGGTCAGATATGGTTCGGGTTTTCTGGTTGAAAACAGGTAATGGAAAAACGAATGAATTACCCGACCCGACCCATATTTAATACGGATAAAAAATAGGTTAACTGGCAGATAATATGGGTAACCATATTGTCCATGACTTCTTGCATATGATCACTTTTTGGGAGAATTCTTAGTCTCCCTAAATCGAGTAACTCCCAATTTGAGGCTTTACAAATATAAAAGTTAGACCCATTGGTTATCCATTTTCTAAATAGATAATATGGTTCATATACCTGTTTTTCAAAAGTATCCAACCCTTTTTAGCGGATAATATGGGTGGTTAACTGTTTTCTTTTAAAGATTTGCTACCCCTACATGGGACCAACACTGGATAAAGGATTAGTCTGACTTGATACCAAATGAACTTTGGTCTAACTCAACCCTATAAGGGAGCTCATTGCCTAAGGTTATATAATGAGACAATAGTTCATTCTCTTAACCAAATGTGGTATGGCAAAAGAAAATGAAGGAGAAGTAGACTCACAGAAAGAGGCCTTTGCAAGAACAAGTTGAATAAGTCCTTGAGCTCCAAAGTGAGACCCATAGACAGCATTATAAACCCAAGAGCTAAGCTATAAGAAGTAGGACCTGCATTTACAAACCATGAAAAAGTAGATGGCCTCAAGCAGGCAACAATTCCACCAACAGTTACATAAACAGGGTAAAGGCTAGCTGCAGTTGACAGCCATTCTTCCCATCTTGGTTTTACTTGATCCACTGCCGCAGGAAGATTCTGAGAATTTTCTTTAACACAATTGACAGTCTGTCTCTGCCTTGACATTTTTGGCCTTGTTGAAATTATGTATTTCTTGAAGGGTATCCTTGGCCTGTCGTTTGTGTATGAAAATGGTGGAGAGAAGCAAAGTGATAACGCCATTCTTGAATTCAAGGAGCAAAAATCCAAGACTTTTTGTAAGGCTTCACATGAAGACTTTTCAGTGCATCACCATGGTGATATGTGGATTTTTGTTTTGGAGTTTTTGGTAGTTGATTTAGACAGAAAAAAGTAATGATGGTGAATTCATGGGGATTACTAATATCAAGTAGCTTAGTGAATCAGGTGGGTCCATAAACGACTTTGATATTACAGGTGTATTGTGGCGGAAATCCAGTCGGCCAAATATTTATGGCCGTGAATACAGACCTCGTGGCACCAAAGGGCTGTCCAAATTCTATAGTGGCCTATCGAAGGGTAAATATGTAAATTAGTTAGGTATTTTCTTTTCCTTTTTTCTTTCCTTAGCATGATAAATTTTGCATGCTTGACTATGATTTATGGCATCTAAATCGTTAAACCCTCTCGTGGTAATTTTAAAATCTAATTAAGTATGAATAACTACCAAGATTTAGGATGTAATAGCGGGGATCTCTCACACAATAATTATTGACTTAATTTTTACGGTCCCTCCTCCTCTTCCTTGATCCCAATGTAATAGAATTTCTTTTATTTCTTAAATAAAAGTTAAGTATGAACAAAATTGAAGTTTATTAGTTGCACAGGCTGTATGGTGGGCCGGGCCCGGGCCTAAATGGGCTAAACAGGCCGGGCTAAACGGGCCTGGGCTTAGCGGTCCCGGGCTTCGTGGGCTCAACGGGTGGGATCAGCCCGTGACGGGCCTAAGCCCATATGGTCCTGGGCTAAATGGACCGGGCTCGTGGGCTTAGCGGGCCTAACGGGCTTTTTTATTTCCGGGCTTTTTATTTAATTTTTTTTTTTATTTAAGGCAATTTCTTGTAAACCATATATGTATGTATATATATAAATTGCTCTTATGCATGGCTATATAAATATATGTAGTATATATAATATAGAAATTTAATTATTAAAGTGCTTGACGAAAAAGTAAAATAACAAAATAATAGTAAAACTAAATTTGCATGCATAATAAATTAATAACAAAGTACAACATGAGGCATAAATACGTCTAATAATTTTAAAATAACACAAATTGTTGAAAAATCTTAAAGACGAATTTGCGGATAAATACCCTCAGCACGATACTTTATATGCCTCCTTAAAATGCCTGTGGTACACCCCGAACGAAAATTTAAGACTCTTCCACAGTTCTTGCACTTTAATATTTGGCCTTCTTCATTTTCTTCAAGCACTTCATAGTATTGCGAAACAAATAAGCGCACTCTTTCCGAACGAGGCATGATTTAACTTGAAAATTGAGATTGAGACTTGAAGTCTTGAAAATTGGAGATTGAGAGAAATTTAGATTGAGAAATGAGTATTGAGTATTGAAATGAAGAAGAGGGAGGGGTTATTTATAGTGTTAGAGAAGGTTAGTTTTGTAAATTGAAAAAAAAACGGCTATTTGTGCAATATGACCGTTGGTGGTCATTGGGGTGGGGCCCTCATTTTGAAAAATCTTGTTTTGTAGTATATATAGTACTACTTCTTCAAGTATATATAATATATATAGTATACTAGTATAGTATACTATATATAGTATGTTATGTATATATATTCCCTTATATATTTTGTTGTAGTATATATTGTATGTTATGTATATATATTCCCTTATATATTTTCTTGTAGTATATATTGTATGTTATGTATATATATTCCCTTATATATTTTCTTGTAGTATATATTGTATGTTATGTATATATATTCCCTTATATATTTTCTTGTAGTATATATTGTATGTTATGTATATATATTATAGCTTATAAATAATTGCAAGTTAAAGACAAAAAATATTGCGAAGAGATATTCAAGGGCATGTCTTATAATTTTTATTACCAAAAATGGCATATCTTTCTTAGTCTTCTTCCCCCCAATGGAATGAGCACAACAAGGTACTAATACCACCATTAAAAGGAAAAAAAACTAAAGAAGATATGCCAAAGTACAAGTTACACCATAATCTACATTGTATCTCTAACAAATCTCATAAATCCTTCAAGGTTCGGAGGAGGTTCCGTTGGTGGTGGCGGAAAAGAAGCTTGTTCATCACCGCTTCCGGGCGAAGCAGCATCCTCCGCAAGTTCCGCTATCATTTCTTCATAAGCTTCGTCTATCTCCGGTTGTGATTCTGCAAGTCCAAAGTTTCTTCTTTCCGAGAGGATCCAATCTCTGAATAGTACTGATTTTTCCAAGCTCTCCCTCATAGACGCTCTATGATCACCTATTTGAAGTCTTGCTTGACTGAAAGCGCTCTCTGATGCAACTGTTGAAGCTTGAATAGATAAAATATCCCGAGCCATCCTTGCAAGAACCGGAAAATGTTTTCCCTTGCCTTCCACCATTCCAAAAGATCAAAGGTGCCGTCTGGATTCTCCTTTTCAAGTCCCTGCGACAAATAAACTTGAAGCTCATTTAGATGTGAAGTCTCATCAAAATTATCACCTTGAGAACCCCTAAACTCCGTCCAAGATTTAAGTGCTTTTAGGCCCGCAGCTCTTTTAGATGATTGTGAACTAGACGAAGTAGGGGTTGGAATATTTGGCCTAGCATGATCTAACGCAAGTTGGTAAGCATTATAAATTGTTTGCGCATTTATTTTAATTGAGGCTTTTGCCTCTGCAAGTGTAGAAAATTCCTCAACTGAAAGATCTAAAGCCTTATAAATATTTGTGTACCAAAAGTGAGGACCTCCTAATTTCATTGTAGGATTTAACAATGCAGCAACACCATAAATAGGGGGGATAGGGAAAAAATATTTTTTAAACTTTTCTTTCATTGCATTTATAGCAAGTTGATAAATTTCCCCACCCTCCGAAAATTCAACAAACAAATCACATAGTGCTGCAATATAAACTAAACAATTTGAAATAGTAGGATAATATTGTCCAGAAAATGCATTTGTAGCAATTTGAAAATGTTCTAAAAAATCTATAAGAATTTTGACATTCGTCCAATCTTGATTTGTAAGGATTTCATCATCATCCTCACCACCAACACGAGCATTAAACGTTGCATTAATTGGGTTTCTATATTCATATGCAACTACTAAACTTTCGTACATATAATTCCATCTAGTTGGACAAGGTTTAGGAACCTTTCTTTCTCTAAGGCCAAATTCATCACATTTTTTAAAATACTCTCTAAGTCTACTTCTACGGTTTGAATAAAATAGCCAATTAAGAGCCATTCTAACCTTTTCAATTTCTAAATTTAAAATTCTCATACCATCACCGACGATTAAATGGTAAATGTGACAAATACATCTCACATGGAAACAATTACTAAATGCAGGATTTAGTGTTGTTGTAAGTATGCCTATAGCACTAGTGTTACTAGAAGCATTATCCATAGAAATTGCCATTATTTTATCTCTAATGCAAAAATATCTACAAATATCTGCAACGGTGTTAGCAATAAACTTACCTGTGTGACGTGAATTAATTATTCTATACGCAATAATGCGTTTTTGCATTATCCACTCCTCGTCTATCCAATGACTTGTAACAGTTAGATAATCACAGTCATTATTACTTCTACCAATATCAGTAGTAATAGAAATCCGATTAGTTATATGAGTAAATAAATACCGCAAATATTGTTCATATTCATGTTTATATTTATAAATATCGCTCTTAACTGTTGCGCGAGGCCAACCTTTATAAGTAGGATTAAAAACTTTTCTAATATAATGCACAAAATTAGGGTTAGAAGGAAAAGTATATGGTAAGCACATAACAGTAACCATCTTTGCTAATTCTTCACGATCTTTATTAGGATCGTAATATAAAATACCACCGGTCACAGTGTTAATTCCTGGTTGAACTAGATTTGAACCTGTACTAGGGTTAACCGCAGTATCTACACTTGTCCCCTCTTGCTGCGCTTTCATTTGTAAATATTTAACTTTATCTCTAGGGTGTGTTTGTATGTGCCTAGCCAAACTACCCGTACCGCTACGGTCTCCAGTATATTTATGCGCCAGCAATTTCCCACAAGTTTTACACCTAGCCTTATTTTGTTCTCTTACTTGAGTAAAAAAATTCCAAACTAATGATGTTTCTAGGCGTTTAGAAGGTTGTCTATTAAAAGTAGGGGTTTCTACAGGTGGGTCGGGCGGGGCATCAGTTGGGTTATTAACAGGACTAGTAGGTGAATCATCTAAATCCGGTTGGGTTTCATCTACATCCTCATTTTCCTCATCATTTTCTAAGATAGTTTGATTAGGATAAAGAGCATTCATAACTTCTTCATTTAATTGTTCACCTTGTGCAACATTATGGCAAAATTCACTATCGGAAAATTGAAAACAAGGGTTATCACTATCAAGAATAATAGGAGCAGCAGGACGGGTAATAGGTCTGGGTCGGGGAGCCGGGGGAAGGGTAGTAGGTTGGAGACTACTTTCACCAATTTTAGCTTTTCCCTTACCACCAAACATTTTTTTCAAAGAAAATGCCATATTAATTACAATTATGCAAACTAAAACGCACAAAAATATATTCTTAAAACTTAAGAGTTGGAACGAGTTTACCGAATTGCCGAACAACTTCTTGAAAATTAAAAATCGTTGAAGACTTGAAGACTTGAATACTTCAATTCACCAACTTCATAATTTTTCACGAAACTGCAATAATAAAATAAGCAATTATAGAAGAGAAATTAGATATAGATTGAGAGAGATTGATGAATTGGTGAGTAAAAATGAAAGAATGAGGGGGTATTTATAGTTGAGAATTGGGAAAAAGTGTAATTATATAAAGTTTGGGGGCCAAATGACTAGTTTTTAAAGTGGCCAACGGATAAATTATGAAGGCCAACGGCTAGATTTTAAAAATCTGACCGTTGGTCTTTTTTTTAAAATTTTTTTTTTTTTAAAAAAAATAGCCGTTGGAGCCCGTTAGGCCCGGTTGAACCGGCCCAGGCCCGCCTGCCGGTCCCGGACTCGTGGGCTTATAGAAGTGAACCGGCCCGCCACGGACCTCCTGCACCATTGGGGACCGGCCCACCAGGACCGGCCTGCCAGGACCGTTTAGCCCGTTAAGACCGCGGGCCCGGTCCGATCCCGATCCCAGCCCGGCCCACCATACAACATTAGTTGCACTTGAACCCCTTATCATTGAATTGCTTATGACTTCAAGTTCACATTCCTATTTTGAC